TACATCCTACTTTTCAACTTTACCTGAAGACTATCATTTGAATCTGTGCTTCTTGTCCTGTTATCGCGTGGTTGAAGTGCACCACTGGTAAGTCTTACCTCTTTTCTTTCCCCTCTGTTATTTCCGTCTCTGTATCTTTCTCTCCCAGTGCTATATTATGACCGTAATTATGTCGGTCATGTTTTTCTCCTTTTCTCGGACAAATAGACCTAAAGTTTTTTAAAACTCTTTTTCACCACTTAATTACTGTTACTGTGTCAATGTGTTTCTGTATATTCAAAACGGAACGCAAACAGCTTTATCTCGGATGCATGTCGTGCGAAGATATTTTTCGTTTCGTTTCTTGGCCCGTTCTAGTTGTTGTACTGTTGTGGTGGTAGCGAAGCGTACTCCAGTTTTTTGTTTATCTCACCCGGCTGTCTCCCGAGTGCTGTTATCTCGGGGCACGCCCACCAAGCTGACGAGCGGATGTCCGTACGAGGAGCCACGACGACTCTCGAGTCTCAGCTGATTGGGAGATTGCGCTAAATGGTAGATTGGGGGGAAGGGACAAGCGGATAGCTTGGGGAAGGGTTCGCTGTTGTGATTTATTTATCTTCTCCATTGTGGACAGTTGGAAGGAGCCTCTTGAAGGTTCTGTTACTTCTGTCTTTCCTTCTGATATTCCTGTATGTCTTGCTTTCCTCGTGCTCCAAATGACCGGGTGGGTCGTTAGCGGCGCCCTGGGGTGCTTTGACCCTTCTTTCCTATGAAACATCATATCGTCCTTATCTCTCCTCCTCCTTTTCTTTGTATGTTATCCTCTAGTGGGTTTTTTTAACAGCTTTATTCAACGGCATTCGTGTGACCAATTTGTGTTACAAATGCCGTAAAGCTCTTACTAAATCTGAGACATTGAACGGCATACAGTTATTGTGACGTTGTGCTTCTCTTCATTGAAACATTGACGCTGTTCTCCGAAAACTGAAAGTAAGAGTAAGACAAAAACACAGGTTAAAAGGTGTTATGAACTCGGGGAGTCCACGCCCCCACCTCCTTTGAAGGACAAAGATATTAAATCCTCCGAAAATTATAATTTTTACTTACAGAAAAGTGGGAAGACATGATATAATATCAAGCGGCTAGCCCAGGATAGGGAAAGGTGGAAAGTGTTTGTTCGTGACCTATATCCTGATCCAGGGTGAGAAAGGCAATGATGATGATGAAAGATCTCAATCGATACTCTCTCTCTCTCTCTCTCTCTCTCTCTCTCTCTCTCTCTCTCTCTC